AGTCTGTGATAGGTTTAATGTGGGAAGAGCAACTGCGTTGAGAGCTGTGCGAAAAGTTACTCAAGCTGTGTTCAAAAAGTCAGCAATATTTATTCAATGGCCCAGTAATGATCGTGTAATGTACCGCTGTAATGCGGGGATTTGAAGAAGTTAGTGGATTTCCAAGAACCATTGGGGCCATTGATGGCACCCACATCCGTATTGATGCCCCAAAGGAGAATCCCGCTGATTACGTAAATCGCAAAGGATTTCATTCGATTCAGTTACAGGTAGACAACATTTTATATTATTATATTATCTAAATTTGTTAATTCCAGATATTAGATGTATTGTAACTGTTTACTTATATCTATGTGTACATCTGTTTGCAGTTGATTTGTGACCATAGAACCTTAATAACACATTGCTACACTGGTTATCCTGGTAGTGTCCATGATCAAAGAGTTTTTCGACACTCAGAAGTACCAGACTTTTTAAATGACGAACAGAAGTTTCCTATGGACAGCCATATTTTGGGTGATGCTGCATATGAACTGCATCACCACCTGCTTACCCCCTTTCGAGACAATGGCCACCTGAATGAAAGACAAAAAAATTACAATTATCGACATTCAGCAGCAAGAGTAGCAGTAGAGAGGTGCATTGCTTTATTAAAAGGACGCATGAGAAGCTTATTACATTGCTTACCAATGTCGAGAGTCGACTTGATGGCAAAATATATTGTAGCATGTTGTGTAATTCACAATATTTGCACATTGCGAGGAGATGAAATAGATGTTGTCTTACTACCTTCACTTTCAGAAGAAAATGTGACAGACAGTGTTTTACATCAATCAAGGCAGAATAGGCAGAATATTGGGGTTCACAAAAGAAATTTGATTATGGATAATTTGATAGTTTGTGGATAGTTTGTAGAGTCTGTGGATATTCTGTGTGATTGTGCAATAACAATGTAACTAAAATATGCTTAGCAGAAAGTACTATCTTATGTTTTTATTTATAAATTCTGACAACTCATAACAAATTGATATATATAGTGTGCTTACAATTAATATCTAAATCTAAAAACATAAAAACATTCTGACCTTTATAATAAAAGTATGTATTTGTTATTACAAATATGCAAAAATAATAAAAGGAGTATTTTATAAAAGCAATATCTTATTCTCTATTTTTATCCAACAGTTTTAAAACTCATTGCAATTATAACTACAACTTTATGTCTAAA